GGCCAGAAAATGAAAAAAGAGAATTACCTATGTTGGAATGCAAAGTAAAAGTAATTACAGAAGATTGTATGAAGACTACATTCTACAGGAAACCTGAACATTCTAACATGTATTCAAACTTCAGATCACCTTGTTAAACATCATTTAAGACTGGTTTAGTAAGATGTTTGAATAATAGAGCAACAAAACTGTCTAGTGAGTGGAAGGAATCAAAGAGTACAGCAAAGAAACTTTGGCAACTTTGCGCATAATTCTTAACAACACTGGAATTAAAGCGGTATTCAAACCTACAGACTTTGTTGGCTCATGGAACCTGTTGACTTACTTAGACAAAATAATTAGATCTACCAAATACGATGTAATGACTGTGAGGTCACGTGCATAGGTCAAACTAGCCAGTCGGCAACAGGTAGACAGTCGGAACATAGGAATTTAGCCAAACGAAGAATTACAGTCCCCACTAAGACCAATAATCTACAAAATTTTTAGCTAAAGTGATACGTGCACTGACACCCAACCATGGAATATGTTGGACAAGGGAACAGTATTAAAGTCCAATCTAGTTAGGTGGATAGAGATGTTGATTACCGAGTCTTTGTTCATTAAGATAATAACTGGCACATGTAATAAGAATGATACAAAACCTATACCACAGATGTAGCAACTTTTACCAACAAAGGTAGTTTGTCAGCGAAACCCTGCTGAATAGTTATTTGACACTTAATAACAATAATAATCACTTAATTATTACAATAAAGTTGATTGAGCTTTTTATGAAAGCTGAGTGACACGATAAACCTGCCTGCATTAAAGCAGAGTTGTTGGATATTTAAATCAATGTCAGGAATGAGATGCACTTATTTCGTTCATTGGTGATTATATACTGTATATGCCTTAGGTTTATAACAGTTAGCAGACTTATATTTAGGCCTACCAGCTGCTCATAAATGATAATTTCGTGCAGGTAGCTAATCTGTATTATCTTGTTTTCTGCTTATATAAAAAAACTACCTGAAATTACTCATTATTTTCCTACTGACGACTCAAACAAAGAACTCATTGATGAATAATCTTTGGTGACACAATTGTGATAGTGAGGATAGTTCTTGTATACAATTTATCTTGGTCATTCATTTCAGAGACAGAAAGTCAGACTTCTAAACTCATCCTAATTACAACATCATAAATCAAGACTGTCTAGTGAAAAAATATGTCTGACTTCTCACAGTTTCTTGTATCTTTCATACTTTGGGATGGATGAGCCGTTTTTTATCTGTAAGGGAATACGAAATTGGCAATTGTGATTGATGCATCCAGTTGTAAGGTGGTAACAAAAGAAGGTTTATTTCACAGACTCATGATAACTAGATCCAAAACTACACTGGTTGGTCAACGGAGGGTAGCCAACTTCATGTCATCTTGCTCAGTGCATTGTGATAAGAAGTCCCGTAGCTTGATGATCATATAGCGAAATGACAGATCGAATTCAGTCAGTACTCAGACTAGACAACATGAAGTTGGTCACCCTCCAGTTACCAATCAATGTACGTAATTCAGTCCTATAGGAAGTCAGTAGCTGCCAGAACGTGACATCACTTCTGTTGAGGTTGCACATACAGCCTCCTGACGAGTACCAGAAAGCATAAAATCCAGGTTTATAACTTTCTGACGATTGTTACCATGTAACTAACATAATTCCGACTTTGTAATACTTTTTTGCTTGAAATGAAAAGTAGAAATCAACACACCTCAAGTGACATTCATAACAACCTATCTTAGCAAACTAAGGAACAGACATTTGTCAAGTAATTCAGTACCCAAAGTGTGGTGTAAAACAGTGAGTGCATACAGGAAGACAAGACATTTGGATATATCAATTTGTGAATTTAGAAAGGAGATAATAAAAGTAATGTACTACAGTTTAAAGCGACTGAATCTATTCTACACTTAATGCTGTGTTAAAATGTACAGAAAGAATAGGCAACATGATATAGACTGTTGAATATTTGAATAACGAACATGATCATAAATTGATAAGTAAATTACTTAAAAAACAGACCAAGTGAAACACTTGCTGAAATAAAAGTATTTGACAGGAGTCGGTGTCGTAGCTCAGACGGTAAAGTACCAACCCGACAGTGTAGTCTAAGGTTCTAAATCTACCCAGCTTTCTTCGCAACCCTTCCTTTAGGAAAATTCTAAAGGTTGTCAGTAGCAATTAGTTAAGTATAAAAGCTTTTCATGTGCAGGCTCCCACAAGTGATTCAAGAATAGTCCGTCTTCAAGGGAAATGAAATTTCTTTTTCGGTGCCAAGTAGGCTGAGCTCCTAGTACAGTTGACAGATCTCAAAGTTGAGATGAAATAATTTGATGGTGTGAATAGATTTCTTGTGACGTTTACATGCAGGTCTTTCAATTTTAGATAGGTTACGAATCTACAGTAAAACTACATAAAATCCAAAAGTTTTCAATATCATTGTCATAAATCTCAGGCAGATGTCTAGCAGTCTTGAGTCCTCAATCACCGACCGTCAACTAATATCAGTCAGTAATGAACAATCTCTTTTCAAAGGTGACGAGGTCCTTTCACACCACTCAACTGATTGTAAGACCGACTAATAGTATTCATAAGCAGATGCAATACATTCACGCTACATATTATCATTTTCCGTCCTAGAATCTTGTTCGAAATAAACAAAGCTATGAAGCACAAATACAAAGAATTGATGCGTTATTTCAATCTGAGGTGAACAGTTTAGAGGAAAGGATAAATGTAAGTTTTCTTTTACTTCCCAGCCTAAAAAAATATCACCTTTTTGTCGACTGCACGTGCCTATTATGTACATCAAGAGAACAAAATCAACAGTGCGATTTTTCATAAGGCGAATTTATTTTCAAGTTACATAAAAGTCATAGATTGCGCTATGTGTTTTCGGTCATTAACAACATGAAGAACATTCGACAGTTTGGCGTTATTTGGTGATTTGCTCCTTCGACACCTTACTTTACTAATCTGAGGCCTTGGAAACTTGGAAGTGGAAATAACCACGTCAATGATTAGTTAATATGTCGGTATTCAGTGGTGAGAGAGGTACTTTCATTTCGAAAGCAGCATCACCACCAACTGTCCTCTCACTTCTGTTCTTGAAAGTCATGGTTTTGTACAAGAACAGTACAGAAATCGAAATCCACATAAATAGTTTTTAAGTAATCAGTGGTAACGTGGACAAATGATGACATATGAGCACACTTTCTGTCATAAATGAGAGTAGGGATTTTTGCAGTAGAGTGATACAATTAGCTGACATGTGGCTACACTGTATGGAATTGACTGACTAAATGTATTGAACTATGTGTATGTGAAATCACTCCGTGCAGTAACGTACTAGTGATATAATAGAAATTTTTTTAACTGGTAATGAGTAGTGATAGTTGTGAAGTCCCCTCTATTTTTTTAAGTGTACTATGGGACTATGCATCTTGGAATATACATGCTTTATTAGGTATTTTTCAGTTTAGCATTTGGTTACAAAGCCTATTAAATGTAGGCTTCATATACTGGATCTCAAATAACTCTAACTCAACGAAACCGAAAGCGTTTTAATAATGAGAATATTACTGTTATTTAGAATTTCTCAGATAGTTAAATTTGGAAAGCTCATATCACCGGACATTCCAAACCAGGAACCTTTAAGTTGCTGACTTGCCATGTACGGATTATTAGTCAACAGATGCAACAGACTGGACAATATTCCTAACATTTAGGTCTAACACTGAGAACACTATTCACAGTAATTTAGTTGCTAAGTGTGCCATAGTATTCAGTGACAAGCCACACTTTCGGGCCATTATTCTATTGTTGAATGTGTATGCGTTTTGTGATTCTAAATGTCACTCTAGCAACTGCTGAAATAACCCGTTAGGTCCTTTATCTTATGAAAAACTACCTTTCTAGGTCAAACACAGAGATCTAATTGACTGTCTGAATGATCGTAGTTAAGCTAATGTTCAGCATTTTATCCTTACTTTTTGCAATCATAGTACTGCCTCCGTTAAAGGAATATTAGGGTCAGCGTTTTCGACTGCAGCAGTGGGTAACATGGGTTTGGATCTCAGGAGGGACATCAGTTCCACCAAGGCTGCGAAGGCCCCTAGCTGAAGAGTGCAGAAAAGTATATAACCTAGGTCCAAGGCCTCCTGATAATTGCCTCCATTCACCTAATAGACAAACACTGTGCTAAACGTCAATGTCAAGAAAATCATGAAAAAGCAATGCTACTTGCTTATAACAAGTAGCATAAACTTAAAACAAAAAGCGAAAGTCGCGGCAGCAATTTGAAGCGCAATTGAGGTATCAAAAGGTTAACTTCAGTGTTACGAAATCGACGTCTAAGATTCTGTTACTAACCTACATTTAATATTCTGTTTACTAAGCGTCATTATGTTCAATAGATGAGTAATTATTACCGACAATGTAGAAAATGAACTACTTGTTACCCATCACTAATCACTTTAAAACAAACAACTAAGATTTAATAAATCCATAATATTTCAGCGGAACTCCTCAAATAAGCACTCCAAACACTTGATCATATGTACGGTGATGCAATACAGGCAAAAATACACATACGTATATGAAGTCAAGAAAATAAATTTTTGGAATAATTGTAACTGATCACGGCCTGGATTATATTTCCTGTGTATTACAAGTATGTCGCCAGTTTTACAACGTACAATATGATTCTTACAAGCATACAAAATGACCGATATCTAATGTGAATTTTGCACACAATCATTATCTTTTTTTAATATATTTATTCAATTTCCTCTTTGTTTCACCACAATCACAAAATGCCTACCAATAAACTCTTCAGAAATTGAAAATTGATCTTCACTTTCACTTGTTAAATTCTATACAAACCAAGAAGTGGTTAAAAGCTACTCAAGGATGGATTCTGATTCGAAAAAACTTTTATCAGCAGAAGTATAAGAGGTGGAAGATGGAGTTGATGAAAACTCATTACCATGTAAGTTTCAGCATTTTAACTTTTATGTATACAGAAGTGATTGGTAAAGCGAATACTTAGATTGAAATTGACGGGAATTAGTATCTTTTAGGTTGTTGACCTGACTATGTAACAGCTAAATTAGAATCTAATTGTTAGAATTCTAAATGTGGAAATAATTAAACATAGATGGTACTGGGGGATGATTGAAGATAAAATGAAAATCTGGATCACAGAAGTTTAACAGTTTGCATTCTGATAATTAAATATCATTGTCGTTCATAGTTCATCTAGTTATTGTAATAGTACACTGTGTTAGTCTGCAACTTTCCCAGAATTAAGAAGTCAGTTACTGAAGTGTAACTGATACAATTTTGTCCAGTCATAATTACTGATTATAATCGATTCACTGAATTTGCAAGGGGGCTAAATGACTTGACATTACACTATGCTGTACTTTGTGTCAACCAGTTGGAACCGGTCAGCAGGAAGTCCTGTTTGATGAAGATCCCATGGCTGTTAACACACATCAATAAACTGTGTCCGTAATATTGAGGGTATTGATCGTCCATTAGGAATATGAACCCATTTCAATCATTGTTTCAGTTAGAGACTTTGAAAATGAATTGTCACAGGAATAGTTCGCATCTACGCTCATTTCCAAACAGTTTAAAGTGTGCACGTTTTGAAAATTGTTGGTAAAAGTATTTGCCTGGTTATGTGAACAATAGCGAATCTAGTAAAAAGCAAATGAATGCCTTTTTTATACGGGTAAGTGTCTTTGAAGCGAAATGGATGAATTTCTTGAAGTCACTTGACAAAAGTTGCGAGATGAGGAAATCCATTAGAGTCTAGTAGTGAATGAGTAGTAAACTCGTCTTAGCTGACTAACAAACATGTATTCCCAAAGCATTTCAAAGATCTGACTCTCTATGGTTTCGCAAATATTGACCATCAAATGAGAGATAGTCACAACACCAAAACTTCCCATAATTTCACTGCAGAACCATGGACTAGACTGCTGAATGAAATACTGAAGTTATTCTGTTTCAAAGAAAGCTGAGATTTTGACAGATATAATATATTGAATTTTGAGGGAGTTGTGGAGATTTGGAAATATTTCAAGTTGTTATTCATCGTAGACTGACATCAGTTGGAGGAACAAAGGAAACCGGTTGCGCTATATCGTGAGCTAACAGAAGTTGGAAATATGGAGCATTGGATTCTGACTCAGTGGCTCAATGGCAACGTGCTGGCCGCGGAACCTAAAAGTCGCGGGTTCGGTCCCTGGCGGGGTCGTAGGTGTGCACTGCTGAGTCCCATACTAGGACGAAACAGCTGTCCAGTGCTCCCAGGTTTCCTTTGTTCCTCGGCTGGTGTCAGTCCACGATGAATAACAACTTGAGATATAATATATCTCAAGGCATTATTAAGTTGTACATACTCTCATTAATGAATCCATAAAGTAGGAAATTTAGCATGAATAATAGGCAAACATTTTTAATAATGAAACCACAGGGAAGTATTTTAAGACCTCCATAGTTCTGCCATATAAGAAACCCTAGATGGATTAAACCTAAAAACTCACTGTGAGACAAAATCTGTCCGTTGATGGATCCTATCCTTATGGTCACTCTGAGGCCAAACCAGGGTGAAAGAACATTAGATTTCAGTTAAACATTCAATGTCAAACGGTGAAAAGATACAAATGTTGTAAAAGAGACCAGCCATAGCCATGCTGTAAAGAGAGAAGTGAAGTGAAGACAGGAATTGGTAATTGAAGTCATCTTTATTTAATCGATACGTGATACTGGGAATAGAAATGACGCAACACCAATTCTAATTAAATCAGAGAAATGAAGCACAACAGAACTATGAAAGTAGACTAGAAAGTTGTGTGATTATCTTGATGATCATGAGTAACAGATTCTGCTCAAAACGTCATTGACAAGTAATGAAAGTATATACGGTGCCGAAATTTTACTCTCATATTGATGAAACCTAATGATTTTTATTACTAGTCTCGTTTATTGACGGGATAGATAGAAAATGCCTTGACTTTTATACTTGTGAAAAATTATAATCTTGACAATAGTTTTTGTGTCCTTTTTACACAGATGAGTCATTTCATTAACAAGATGATAACAAGATAATAGGATGGTAACTGATTTTTATGGCATATATATTGGAAAACTGTATACAATGTTTCAACGTTTATTGTATAAGTCTCCTTCTTCACATGGGTGAAGTACTTGCATTCTAGCACCGTGTAGCAGTATTCAGAGTAATTCAGTTTTAACTCCCTATGCTGCTACACAACTTTTTTGAGAATAGATACAGCTTCGTCCATCAGTGGACAGAAATTTTATTACTGTTGTCATACTTTGTTCAAATAGGTCTTATCCAGGTTGCCTGTAACACTGAGGCGTCGTAGTGCATTAGCTGGTGAAACAAACAAGCAGATTACTCAATCAAAAACACTTTCTAACAGGTCTAACTTAACACATGGATTTCAGCAGAATTTAAATCTGGCCTAAGCGAAGTATACAACTGTCTGTTTACCTGTTTTTTTAGCTCCAAACTCTTCATGCATGTGAAGGATTTGTCAAAGCTATTTTTGGTAATGCAGCAGTTCATCCAATATGGCAAGAGCGAAACGAACAAAAGGCGAAATGTACAACATTTAACCAATGGAAAACTGAACAATCATGGCTATGCTATAGACGAGAAATTATGGAGTCACAATTAAGTACTAAGTCCAAAGATGAAATAAAACGTATTGAAAATGAATTACGTGGTCGGGAAGCTGTCCAACAAATTTTGACCAATCACTTCACTAAAAGATAAATGAAAACAACCGAGGTCTCAATGAAAGATCAAAAGGAACAACCGTGAAACAAAATGAATTATTAAAATTTCCTTATACTGTGAATCATCCTTTGCATACACATGAACAACTGTTGATAAAAACGCTTAATGAATTGGAAACTAAACAACGGTCAATACAAATTGAAGTGAAATTAAAACATGCAAATTAGATTTGATGCTGTAAGTTTTCAACAGCTTTTTTCAATCTCTTTTCTGGTATCATATGTATATTAAGTTACCTTTATCAATGGTTAACTTCAAGTTGTTATTCATCGTAGACTGACATCAGTTGGAGGAACAAAGGAAACCTGGGAGCACTGGAGAGCTGTTTCGTCCTAGTATGGGACTCCTCAGCAGTGTGCACCCACGACCCCACCAGCAGGGATCGAACCCGCTGAGGAGTCCCATACTAGGACGAAACAGCTGTCCAGTGCTCCCAGGTTTCCTTTGTTCCTCCAACTGATGTCAGTCTACGATGAATAACAACTTGAAATAATTCCAAATCTTCACAACTCCCTCAAAAATTTAATGGTTAACTTGTTTTTATTGGTGTATAGACAGATTCCGGGTTAAAACACATGTTTGTACATAAAAAGGAATCATCTGTTGATAATTCTTTCATCGACAAGAGATTAAAATATTCATTGAATTTTATTTCTTTGCAAAGACTTTTCAGAAGAACTGAGCAAGATTATCATCCATTGATAAACCAATGACAGTTTTACAAAAATCTTGAAATCAACTTTTTTGAACTCTACAGGTTCACAAGTTGTTGTGATTTAGTTGATTTTAACTGTATCGTATAAATCATCTTTTCGTTTCAATATCATTCCCTTAATGGTAGGTGATGTGATGTCTGTTTCAATCAACAGCAACGAATGATATGTGATTGTACCGCAGGTATTGAGGAAGGCCATCGGAATCACATGTCTTGTACACCTTTGTATTCAGCATTATTTTGGCTGATGTCAATTAACAACCTATATCACTAATAAATTCTTTTTTACACTGAGTAGTTTATATAAAAATAATTATTATTTTGGTTAATTTTCATAGAAATTATATTAAAAAAATAAAATCTCAGGTAGAAGATGAATACATAAAATGTACAAGAATTAATTTAAGTGAACTTGAAAATCGAAAGCAAAAGTTAACTGATGTAAGTTTTACAATTCATGTTAGATTAGATCGAGTATTTTAGTGAAATGAATAAATATTTCGCAGGGTTTTATTAAATTATTCATTGCCCCATTAATATTTCTAACAAATGATTAGTAGCTATTCGGTTACCTCAGTATTATGTCAAAAAGGTTTGAATTGCAGGTCAGCCAACGAATCAAGAAAAAAAAGGTGTCACAAGCTACCGAAATAGACTACTGAAAACATTAAAATCTGGAAATTAATAACACTGATCTGTAGAATTCAAAATTTAGATGTGACTAACACTCTTCTGGGTTGTGATCTTGGCTGAATGAGTAAGTAATTGTACTTCGAAAGATGAAGAATTGTTTAGCTAGGAAAAATACTAATAAAGATCGAATGTCAGTAATTTTAACACTGGTATTCCTTGTGAAGATATGACGTTCAATTTGAGTCACATAGTTAGAAAAGGACCTAATCGCCTCACTAAAGGAACTGAAAGATGATGGATACATTTCGTCAACCTTATTTGAATATTTGAAGCCATTAAGCAGCATGATTACACACATGGATGGTCTACCAAAAATATACATAACTGAGGTGCCTTTTCGCTCTATCCTAGATATGACCAATACGTCTTACCATGATATCGCTAAATGGCTGGTACGATTACTTCAATTTTAGCTTGACCAGTTACAAAAATATACCACGAAAGACACGTTTCAGTTTGTAGACAAAGTAAAGACTTAAGTGGCTTAAATAAATGTATGGGGTCACTAGATGTCACATCTTTGTTTACTAACGTCTCTCTAATGGAAACCGTCAATTGTGAACAATTATTGCAAAGGGAATTAGACACTTGGATTCCTATTATCAATTTGAAAAAAAAAACTATTACTAAAATGTACAATGAATATTCAGTTCATCTTCAACACTAATATGTACAGACAAGTTGACAGAGTGGCTATGGCATCTCCATTAGGATCAATATTTGCAGATATATTTTTGACAAAATTAGAAAATGATCCCTTGAAACAGAAAATTACCAATATGGAGTTGTACTGTCAACACATAGATGATACTATTTTAGTCCTTGATAGGTTGCATATGTATTAATTCTATTCTGAACCATTTCATAAGCGCTCATCCGTCAATTCCATTTATATACGTAAATGAAATCAATCGTTCGATATATTTCCTTGATGTGCTAATGACAAGAAACAAAGATGGCTCTATACTGAGAAGTATATATAAGAAAACTAACGTCCAAGGCACAATATACGCATTTTCTCAGCTTAATACCGATGAAGTACAAACGTAATATAATCATCTGCCTCCTGACATCTAGAGTAAGGTCGATTTCTTCCAAGGAGTGTGTGGAAAAACAACTATTGTGCATCCATGATATTCTAAGTGAAAACGGATATCCGGATAAATACATCAAAGCTGACATCAACTATATTGCTCCTAAACAAGAACACATGACAGTGGATTATATTGAAGGCAGATGTTGCAAGTGATATCCTATCATAACGCCTAGCTACAGAAGTCAATAGGACATTTTAAGCAGGTCAGCCAATGCTCAATTCGACACTAACGGATAACCCACCTAATCTTATATCTTCATCTTGTATATATCAGTTTAACTGTTCCTATGTTACTAGTTCCATAGGGCGTATGATTAGGCAGGTATGTCTCCAGATATGAGAGCATTTACCAGCTTGGTTCCGAAAGAGAGAAGTGAAAGTGGTGAAAAGTTCAGTCCTAGCACATCTAGTCGACACAGGGCATCATATAAATGCTAATAAAGCTTTCTTTTAATGTCATCTATTGTGTTCCAAAAACAATACCATACATAGATCGCCAACCCTTGCTCAACCATAGCGGAGGCTGTCGTAATAAGATTGATCAAGCCTGAACTCTGCATTCAGAAAGAAAATATTTAAGTCTTACTTCTCCTTTGGCCTTCAGATAACTAAAGCCTATTCCTGCCATCTTATTCGTTATGTTTTTGTTCACCATCATATCAGTTTTCTGTATATGTATCATCCCAATATTGATTTTCTTATGATCCCTAAATCTCACTCCATTTTGAAAATGTACCAGCCTCTACCTTGGATTGATTTCACGCTGTACAACTGCATTTTATTATTGTAGAACTTGAAGAACAATTGTTGTAAACGATATTCTTCGTTCCAATTGTTGCTTTTCGTAGATTGATTTAGTCTTAACAACTCTACTCCGTGTTAGAGATGTATTCTGGGACACTGCTGATGTATTCAAGTTAATATGAAGAGAACAGCAGTCAAGCAATTAAATCATCTTGGTTTATGTCATGAAATATGCCCATTAGAGTGAATAGTTTTTTAACTGTCCATGTTTTGTAGTACTGATTTCCTTTTATGTCCTCATTCCAAACTATAGTTTTTAAACCTAGTAGACAAACTGAAGGAAAATGAAACAGTTGAAATGAACAATTTAACCACGGAAGCACAGAAGAAAACTATGACAAGAAATATATTGAAGAAAGAAGTAAAGTATCTGAAACTCGGTCAAAGCATTACTGCCACCAATCGATTCAGTTACTTTGATTATAGATATAACTTACCTTTATGTAAATTAAAACATTGAAAGTTCTTTATTGTAGAGTCAATGGTACTTTGATATCAGCCTTTTGTTCCATCAAATTTGAATTAACTTACTTAAACAAACGAACGCTTACTGTAATACGTTTCAGATACTGAGTGTCCGCGGTTGAGATGGCCAACTAGGATTCATGGAAGCTAACCAGATAATAAAAAAACCCAACTTGTTCAGAACCATTAATGCATTCTTTATGATTCCAATACTGAACATGGATGAATAAAATGATGAACAGTTTTGCTTATCAAGCACGTAGAAAAATTTCTGAAACATTTGGTGACTGTGATAACATTCCATGAAAGAAAAATTTTACTATGGTGCAATAACTATTCTCAGACTCATTGACGGCTCTTAGCATAGTTTTACGGCAATATGAAATGAAAAATGCATTTTTAAACCATTATTTTGTCGATAAATGTCATCGAAGCTAGAAAACTGGGTTCTAAGAAATGAGAGAGCTCAAATCTTTATGTCTTGTTCACTGTTCAGCTGTATAAAGTTTGCACTAGGCAAAGAATCATTAGGAGATAAAACAGTAATATACTTTAATTAATACGAACGAAGAATCATTAGGAAATATTTCTGGCAAAAAGTTGAGTTCAATGTCAAAATAGTTGACCATCTAAACCCAACGGTCATCACCTCAATACCTTCAGGGGTCTTGTGTGCATGCTGCTAGGAAGCGCTAATTCAGGGTGAAATAAATATCCACTGCTATTAAATCTTCAATAAGTCTCCAGCTGATGTCAACTTGTAATGAAGGGCATTGGAATCGGAAGATATTTCTAAAAATGACAGTGAAAAACGCCGCCTATTAATATTTGCTGGAAGTAAGTTATGTCAATTAAAGTGGATGAGAAACAACAGAAATGTAAGTGAAATAACAGAATAAGATACAAGGGAACAGGAAAATGTGATAACTGGTATAAGACATCCAAGTGAGTGAACACAAACCAAAGGGTAAAGAGATGATCAAAGATTATAAACTGAATATAAAGAGAAAACGTGACACTATAGGGTCATTCAGAAAAGAAGTACCGTGGTACCGTTAGTGTACCAACCAGCTGATAATACATTGCTGTTCAGCCTGTAGGTTGTTTATTCCAATGAAGATTAGAAGTACATGCGTAATTTAGACAATGGTAGTCCACTCACCCAGTAGAGCATTATGGAAGAGGAAACAGAGAGCAGTTGAC